TTTCTTACCAGTGCTTATTATTTTCATAAGGTGTCATGAAGAAAAATTCTAATCCCTCTATCCAGTCATTCTGGGGCATTTTTCAAGCAAGCCTTCATTAAGTTTATTCTTTATCTAGGTCAAGGCATAATATAGTGAAGCGTTGCAATGTTTGCAGCCATACCACTTCATGCTGTTCAGCATAGAGTGCGCTAAAATTAGAAAATATTCTTCTTCTTGTATAGCTCCATTATGTCTAAAGCAATGACTAATAGGGAGGCTAAGCAAGTTCTAGTTAAGATGCATCTAAAAATATAAATGGTAACTGCAACAAAGAATAAAGAGTCTTTCAGACATACCGAACACTGCACCTTTATCTAACACTTTGAGAGAGATCATAAGATAAGAGCATGATTTCCGGTAGATGAAATCTATAGAATTTTCTTTTATCATAGAACGTGTCTGTCCAGCATGCCAGGACCCTCTTCTGAAAAAAAAAGTGGAGGGTTCAAAGTATGTATTTCTTTTAAAGTATTGCTACACTTTTGTGTAGAATAGCCCAATCTACCGCTAGTTCATTTCATAAATTGCAAGGAATTAAGTAGATTTCATATGTGCTACCATTTTTATGGGACTCATATTTATGGACTTTGGTGACTTTCTGCAGCTATTACTCCATGATAGCTGAGTGGGAGGAACATTTTGATGTATTCAATGCAGGAAAAAAAATACATTTCTAAGAGTTTTATCATACACCCAAAGTATACAGAGCTCCCCCATAAAAAGCCATGTTTGAATGTTTCTGTCAGTTTTACAAAATCACATCTGGCTACATGTTAAGCTGGAGATATTTAAACATTTAAATTTAAAACTGAACTCCAGGATCCTGCCCACTGTGGATCCATAGCTCTCTTTTACTTAAAGTATTTCCAATGAATGCCTTACTTTTGAAACAATTTATGATTTTCTCCCTTGTAATCTCAATGGGTCCATGTAAAAAATGTACTGTCCCAGATGCCTGGGGAGGATCTGTGCAGGTGCCACACATCGCAACCAGCATGTTTAGCATGGGGGTATAGGTACTACATTTGCTGTGATTCTATTGGAGTGGTGCAATGTGGAGGGTGTGCACACCCGCTTTGCCTGCATGCGATGCCCAACAGAGAACAAATCTGAATGTGTAGAAATTTGTACAATTGAAGATTTATAATCCTCCACTGTATGTCTTCATGATCATTCCTCCAGTTCAGGAAATTCTGACATAAAGATTGGCATAGCTGGCAATCGAGTGCTGTGCGTAGGAAGCGACTAGGTGCATTGCAGTCCTACCATCCACAGAAGGAAGCATAACATAAGCCCATCACTGATCTCCTGTAAACTACACAGATGAAGAAAAGTGACCAGGAGCCATTTCTTCATAGGGAGAAATTAGCAGCACCTGGTTGCACAAAATGGAAGCTGCCCCATTAAAGAGACATAAGGGATATGTTCATAGGGGCAAAAACATTAGAAAAATGGATATTAGAAGGAAATACAGATCATTTATTTATCAGGTAAGCAAGTAGCTTGCTAATAATACCCTGTGCTTCCTGGCTGAAGTTCTGCTTTAACTAAACCTACTGTTTAAAGCCCAAATCAAATTCTAAAATGTTTAGTTGCTTTTGGATAGAGTATGAAAGGGTTGGAGCTTCATCAGGATTTGGCTGTCTGTGTGCCTATCAGGGAGATTTTCCCTCACATCTTGTCATGACATCCTAAATTTTGTGTCATACATCAGGTTTTATGTATTATAAAGTATTCCTAAACTGGTGCATAAGGAAGTTGCATAATCCTTTGTTCATACTATGTTGGATTTAGACAAGCAGGAAAGAGAATAGAAAGCAGAAGTAAACTGTGACTCAAAGGCTGCTTAATGCTGATATGTAAATTAACCCTGGCACACATTTAGGTACATTTTTTGGGGACACTCGGTAAGAATCAGAACCACTTTCATGGTTGTGTGCATCAGCCTCCACCCAGGCATAAGCGTCCACTGAGTTACCTCCAGCCAATTGAAATCATACATTTAACATCGCAGGGTGACATAATATGAGAATATCACTCATAAATTATATAATTATGTTAATAAGGAAGTTATATACTTCCTTATTAAAAGCTAATGTCACACAGGGGGTGAAGGTTGTGCACAAAGGTGTTGACATTCAAGAGCATACACCCATGTGTACTTAAAGAATTGAGCTCTGCCATTTCAAAGCCATTGTTTCTAATTTTTAGGGACTCTTTAATGACTGGCATAGTACCACTGGATTGGTGTAAGGCCAATGTGGTGCCAATATTTAAAAAAGGGGTCAAAATTTTTTACCAAGTAATTATAGACCTGTTAGTTTAACTTCTATAGTTGGGAAGATACTGGAGAGTTTAAGAAAATACCACATAGATGAACTTTGCTGGAAAAAAACATTTTAAGCAACAGACAGCATGGGTTCATGAAACACAGAAGATGAAGTTGTCAAACAAATCTGAGTTCTTTTAGAGGGGTGGCTGTGGACATGGCATACTTGGATTTTTCAAAAGCGTTTGACACAGTTCCCCTCACATGGCTAATGTGTAAGGTAAAGTCTACAGGCTTGGAAAACTCTGTATGTAAATGGATAGGAAACTGGCTAAAAGATCGTATTCAGAGAGTAGTGATTATTGAGTCATACTCTGAATGGTCTGGGGTTGTCAGTGGTGTACCCCAAGGTTCAGTGTTGGGACCCTTACTTTTTAATATATTTATAAATGATATAAGGTTTGGGATTAAAAATACCATTTCAGTATTTGTAGATGACACCAAGATATGCAGTGGAATACCGTCCTTACAGGATGTCTCCAACTTTCAAGCCGACCTCAATGCACTGTTTAATTGGGCAACTATGTGGCAAATGAGGTTTAATGTTGATAAATGTAAGGTTATGCACTTGGAAGCTAAGAATATGCATGCATCATACATACAAGGGGGAGTAAAACTGGGGGAATCAATGGTGGATCTGGGGGTTCTGGTAGATCACAAGCTTAATAATGGCATGCAATGCCAAGCTGCGGTTTCTAAAGCGAGCAAAATCCTCTCTTGTATTAAAAGAGGTATAGACTCCAGAGAGAGAGATATCATTCTATCCCTGTAAAAATCATTAGTAACACCTCATCTGGAATATGCAGTTCAATTTTGGACACCAATTCATAAAAAGAACATTAGGGAACTGGAGAAAGTAAGAGAAGGACAAACAAACTGATAAGAGGCATGGAGGAGATCAGCAATGAGGAAAGATTAGAGGAACTCAATTTATTCTCTCGAGAAGAGGAGATTATGGGGGGGATATAATCAACATGTATAAATACATCAGTGTTTCATATAGTGAACTCGGTGTAGAGTTATTTACCCTGAGGTCATCACAAAGGACAAGGATTACTTTTTACGTCTGGAGGAAAATAAATTTAATCTGCAAACACGGAAAGGTTTCTTCACAGTAAGAGCTGTGAAAATGTGGAATAGACTCCAATAAGAGTTGGTTCTGCCCAGCTCAGTGGATTACTTTAAAAAAAGGCCTGGATTCTTTCTTGGATACACAGAATATTACTGGTTACTAACATTTATACGTGAAATTGATACAGGGAATATCCGATTGCCTCTCGGGGGATAAAGGGAGGAATTGTTTTCCCCTGCAGGAGCAAAATTGGATCATGATTTGCTGTGGGATTTTTTGTTACCTTCCTTTGGATCAACTGTGTCAGTCAGACTAACTATGTAACTATGTAACAATGATCTCTGAATACAGTGGACACAATGAATATGCTTACCAGTGCATCATAAAATTAACATAAGAGAAACCATGTGATCCATACAAACTAGCCAGGTCTCTATATTTAGCAATCCAGGGCAAGCAAGCAAACAGAAGCTGACCAGTCAACATTAGGTTCAGGTGCATTCGCACTAACACCGTGTTATTAAGCAGTATTATTTTGTATACATCCATTAAAAATAAAACCTCATTGTGTGACTTACCAAGTACTGCTTACATGTAAATGTTTTCTTTGTTGAAGATAGAGCCCTTAGCTAAGACAGAGTTGGCGCCGATTCATACTTGACTCGGACACCCAGAAGGCACGGAGTGTATGTCTGGCTGTACCAGTTATTAATGCAGGGCACCATCTTGAAGACTGACATGAAAAATCACTGTAGTGTTTTACATAAGGAGAAAGTGGGAGAAATTCTGCCTTGGGAAGGAGAAGTAACATAAGGCATTTTGTATAGTGAGTTTACTGGAGGGAGAAGAGAGCTGCTTGATGTGCAGTGAATATGCTAAATGAAGAAGATTTCTGAATCATTATTCAATCAGCTATACAACTTCTGAACAGTAACAGATGTTTCTTTGGAATTGTTACTGTGAATTCATTGTTATTAAATTCTGATTGTGTATTACAGTCTCCTTCAGAGATACAGATTGTGTCCATCAATAACAGCTTAGATGTGAGCAACATATGGGATTTCAATTTAAAGTTTAAGCCATTAAGGTTCATTTGTCTACAGGAATAAATATATATTTTTTGGACATTAAGTCTAATATTTTGAATGTTAAGTAGAAAATTTGAAAGATGAAATACACGTTCAATTGTTCCTTCAAAGCTATCTCCCATTGTTCAGTAGAAGAGGTAAAAGACAAAATCAACCTTCAATTGTGCCTCCACATCCCTATATTTCCTATATTATTAACTGCATTAGCAAGTTATTCTGTATATTTAGAGTGAAGCTTGCATCTGATATATATTGTCATGCTAAATGTATGCAGTGACCCCCTGACAATGCCTTCATTTGCTTTTTTCACCAAAAGTACAAAACCATCTTTGTTCAAACATTCAGGTTAAACATTCACTTCCTAGGCTAAGAAGTTGGCTCAGAGCAGGGGCGGACTGACCATTCAGGTGCTCGGGCACTGCCCGAGGGCCCAGGGTCAGTAGGGAGCCCCATGAGATGCCCCTGGTACCTTTCATAGGCTTTTTTGGGTGTGGTTTGAGTGTGGACAAGGACACAGGGGCCCCATGATCCCCTATTGCCTGGGGGCCCCATGAGTTGTCAGTCCACCCCTGGCTCAGAGATAACTCATGTAAACCTGGTGCCTCTGCAGCTCTTGTACAAACATTACAATTTTGAATTCTAATCACTGGTGATTGGGGAAAGGGAGAGGAATGGGGTGGTCACTAAGAAAATGCTTCCTCCTGCCTGCAGCAGATACAGCATTTTTGCAAATTATCCTGTGGCTTAAAGTGTTACTAAACCCAGGACCCTGTAATTCACTATATCTGGTCTCCCACAGTACACAGAACATGGAAATGCAATTGTTTTAGTAAATATAAACTGCTAAATACCTTTTCTCATTAGCAGTTAGAGCAGTCTTGTGACTTCAGCTGAGCACTGGTTAAAGCTCGTAGGAGGAGTTTTCTCTAGGAGGATGGAAATCCCCTGACCTCTGTCTGGTCAGTGCTGATTGGCCCTGTGCTGAACACATGCACTCTCCCAAGAAAAAAAAACCCTCTATAGCAATACACACTAAACTGAGCATGTGCAGAAGGGCACAGTTCAGTCTGTCTTATCAGCATGGGCATTTAAACAAGAGGAGGGGCAGAGAAGAAAAGATCAAACAGATTTTTACACAATGCAGATTATTAACCCCTTAGGTTCCTCAGTGAGTATAACAAGCATGCTTTACTGCATATACACACTGATTGTTACTGTTGTGGGTTTAGTAACACATTAATATTGTGAAATGTCAGCAATTTATCCTTCCAGACTTGTAGATATACTGAAAAGTCAACTTTAAGGAGTTCATTTAAGGGTCAACATACCCATTACACCTTGATCATACAACCTGGATACAATCAACTTTATATTTACCAAATCAATATAGTATGACAACCTACCCAATTTATCAAATCCATTTGTATCTAATAAGGCAGACCATGATACTGCAAATCAGTTGGTAGATCTAACAGAGTACAGTTATATTGTAACATGTGTGGTGCTCTTAAGACGACATTTTCATGGATGCAATCAAATGGATACATCATCCTAAAGCTTGTATAAGTCTATGAAAGATAAACAAACGTAACCAGCGCTCCAGTCTTCATACAACCAAGAAGATGCCAAAATGCCAACCGAAGAGGTGCAGCCCTTCTAAGATCGGGAAATCTGAGCGCTAATGAAAAAGAACAGACAAGGGCGCACTCTTATCGTGCATTACCATGGTAAAACACATATTTATTGAAAAAAGAAGATATATACTCACAAACCAGCGTGATTAAAAGCAGTATATGTGGTCCACAAACACAGTCACAGTACATCTGTGTCTGATGATGCGTATGAGCTGACGCGTTTCGGGAGCTAAACCCCCTTCCTCAGAGCTAAAAGCTCTGGTTTGTGAGTATATATCTTCTTTTTTCAATAAATACATGTTTTACCATGGTAATGCACGATGAGAGTGCCCCCTTGTCTGTTCTTTTTCATTTGTATAAGTCTATAACAAAACTGGAGAGACAACCACATTAGAGTTTCTGATGATAACTCCCCTACTGTGGCTACTGCAATCGCATTCAGCTACCAGTCTTCCAAGACAGCTCTGCCTGCTGGAAGAATACATTGTTCGCCCTATGGGGCCCCTAACTTGATCCATCCTTGCTAGACATTTCCAAGCAATGCTGGGATTGGGTTTATAGTTTACAAAGGTCACAGCACAATCTGGGACTATTTGGCTGCAATAGAACTGAAACTCCATAACATAGAGAACTAAACTGAACAGACAATGTCTGATTACAGAATATCTTCATTCAAACAGCTGAACTATATTGGCAACTTGCTATAAAGCAATTGAAATCCTTAGCAATCAGTTACTTTTCTGGAACAATTACACACAAAATTTTAAATCAGTTGGTGCTATAATTGTACCCAGATAACAATTCACACAATACCACAGTTTACTTAAATTATATTTCTGTGACATAAATAAGGCTGGGTGATCAGAGGCTTATTCACAAACCAACCGAACATTTTTACATTGCCAGGCAAGTAATGAAAATCAGTCAGCTACTAATGCTTCCAGCAAACACTGAAACTCAGCTAAAATCAGAAAGTCTGCTCAGTTCACCCTAATTTGTTTTCTATGTAATCCAAGGCAGCAAGAAACCAAAAAAGCATCCCTCAAGGTCACTCAATGTAAATTTCCTGAAGCCTGTGCTTTTGTAACTATTTTCAACTTCTGTTATCACCTATCACATTCAGACTTCCAAAGCTGGTGTCTGTGGGAACTTACTTAGAAATATCCAATCACACCATTCTTTCTGTATGTAAAAGATAGCAAGAAGCTCTGGGTGTGTTGGGGAATAACTTTCCTGCATTATACACAGGGATTCCCTGACTCACCAGAGTGGACTGTCGTGATATAGCAATGCCTGGCTGAAAGCTAGGATTTGACTTCTCTATAAAATGCAAGGCTTTTTTGAATTTGCAATTTTTAAAATTTTTTTCTAAGTCACCTGAATACACAGTCTCTTTCTAAAGGTTTGGTTGCTTGTATTGTACAGTCATTTTCATCTCATCATGCATGGTCCTACCAACCATATGTTCCATGTCAGGCCTCTCTTAGGGTTTATAGGTGACACTAGCTCACATGTGCACCACCTGTACTCTGGGAAACAGACCAAACTTTACTGTCCCCAGTCAGGGCCTTGATGTAGTTAAAGGACCTGGAAGAAGAATAGTATACAGTAGCACAGGAAGTCTTCTTAAAGTTCTTGAAAAATATACAATTATAAAATATCATGAATAGTGTACACATTTTCTTTGTGACATACTTGAAAATTACCTATTCCTTTGCATCCATTTCCCAAAATGACTTCCTTTCTATGCATTATGTATTTTACTTCCCCATGTTGATGTCCATAACATATTGCCTCTTTATGACATTTAAAAGCACTTCATGACTCCGTGACATTATCAATACTTTGCCTTAAAATGTTCTCCATTTTAGGACAGTAGAGAGCCAAAGTGTATCATTATGGATATCCATTTGGCATTCAATTTATTATTTAGTCATACCGCCTTTTACACGGTGTGACAGCTAGGGAATGGAAATTTAAAGAGACACTCAATTATTTTAAACACGGGAGCTCCTATCCATTCAAAAGAGGAGCATTACCATTTAAATAGAGGTGAGGGAAGTGGGAGAGCGTTGAACTGAGTTAAATACTGTATCTATTAGGCTGGTGAACTGGTAAATACTCTACTTTCAATTACGTGGCTCCATAGGAAAGGCAGCTGGTTCTGTTTGGTAGACTGAGTGGATGTCCTCGCTGTTCTCAGTTTGTGCAGTGGAATGTCTCAGCTATCTCATTGTTTCGTTCTGGATGGTTTCATCTATGCAGTTCTAAACTTTGTGGAATCAAACCATGTTTTATACAGGTCACATTCCATCTTCGCTGTTTTAAACAGGATAGAAGTCATTAGATACCCATAAAGTATATCAGAACCAGTTGGTTTCACTTTATGGTAAGGTTGCTCCAAACTTATAGGAGTGTCATTAGTTCTAATAGGAATTCACAGTACACCTGCCCTTATCTTTTTTCTTGAGAGCGGTATGTAATCATGCAATTGGATTTCCCATTAGATTGAATGAGTCTATAGTGACTGCATTTGTTCCATGTGACCATTCAGATGGATAATACCTTGGAAGTGTTATCAGGAGATGCACTGTGCACGGAAATGTAAAAATAGTCTGCAGCTAAATCCCTAGTATAAGCCTGAAATAAAAGACAAAATACTGAAATAGGCTTAAGAGGGCTCCTTACCAAGGAGCAATTTTGGGCTCCATTTAGATGTACTCTGTTCTTATTCCATGTTATGTGTACATCATGTGTACTTGTTTCACTTGATCAGGGTATATTGGAACCTTGCATGGAACTGCATGTTCCAGCACGCTGTGCCTACAAGGGCAGCTGTCCATTTCATCTCTGCTCTTGGTGAGCACATTTTCTACAGTTGTTCCCTCAATGGCATCATTGTTACTACTGGTGTTTCTTGTGACGTCATGAGTTCCAAAAGATACAGTCCCTGCCAGGTAAGGTTAACATTTCCTTCCTGCACTGGAGAGGTGTGGCTGGGTCCTAGGTGTTTTTTATTTGAGGGGTGGGAGTTGTCAGCAAAGTGAATCTTGCATTTTCAAATAAAATGAAACAAGCACTGAAATAGCAGCAAAAAAAAATCAGAAATCAACTGAAAGGGACCATTTACACAAGTGCACTGCAGTAATGCTCATGTTAATGCCACACATGGTAATGAACGTTATGTGTGTTGGTGAACTGCAGTGCCATTCACTGCGAGCTACCATGCATTGTGATGCACTAACAACAAAGCAGCAGATCTGATTGGGGTGCACTAGGCTGCCCATTCAAATGAATGGGCTGCCTTAATGCCGTGCATCATAATGCAATGCATAATGTGTTAAACTGCTGTGAATCTGACTTTGAAGTTTAGTATATGGTGTCAGATGAAAGTCTGTTTCTGTTTTATTGCTCTTTGCACTATATCATTCTAGGAAGGCCCAACATTTGGACTGGCCTAACACCTATGCATTTCTGCTTTCATGTGTTATTTTTGTCCATTCGTCAATGTGCAAGTTCATTGTGCATTTTCTTGAATTCGATACTAACCATCTAGCAAAATGTTGGAAGAACCTGCCTCTTTCCAAATGTAGCTAATCTGAACTCAAATGGCCTGTTGTGGGTTTCAGTAACCATGCACTTGTAGAAAATGAAATTATGCATTCACGTGTGCCTGTATGGACCCCTTGATGCACATTGACACTTGAATAGACATACCTGAACAATTTTTGCATGGCACTCTGCAATGCATCAATGCAACGGACCCATTAAACACAATTGGATGCTACGTAATATGCATTTTTGTGTATCAAAACACACCTGTTGCAATGTGTGAGTGAGTTTATATGAGCTTTTTTCAAGCTGGACAACAACATGTAGCTGCGTACTGGGCCTCAGTATCCATACCACAAATGTACCTTAGCTAACAACTGACTACCCATCCACTAATCCCATAGTATACTGCCAACTGTCATTCCTTACTTTTAAATGGTAAATAACATAATATTAGG